CCCATTACCCCCACCCCAATCACCCCCACATTTCCTCCCCATATCCCTCCCCTCCCTCTCTCTGCCCCCTGTTCCCCATGCCCACTGGGATCACTCCTTAAGGATTTCCTGGGATGGGCCCTGGGGTCATGGGGGCTGCTGGGAATGTCCCCCAGCCCAGCTCCAGGTGACCTGGGCTCCTGGACTATCCCAATCCCACAGGGATCACGGAGTGCTCCCGCTAGGAACGGTAAAACACATCCCAAAGTGCTGGATTCCAGCCTGCCCTTCTCCCAGATCCGTAATTCCCACCCCAATGGGGAACACACCTTCCTGGGACAGCCCCATCTATGGCCTCCTGTCCTGGGAGCTCCTTTGGGCTCGGAAAGGCTTCTCTTGTTGGGAAGGAGGATTTGATCCCTGAGGGAGGATTAGATCCTGAGAGAAGGTGTGATCCCTGAGGGAGGAGTTGATCCCTGAGGGAGGGTTTGATCCTGAGGGAGGATTAGATCCTGAGGGAGGAGTTGATCCCTGAGGGAGGATTAGATCTTGAGGGAGTAGTTGATCCCTGAGGGAGGATTAGATCCTGAGGAGAAGGTGTGATCCCTGATGGAGGATTAGATCCTGAGGGAGGATTAGATCCTGAGAGAAGGTGTGATCCCTGAGGGAGGATTTCATCCCTGAGGGAGGATTAGATCCTGAGGGAGGATTAGATCCTGAGAGAAGGTGTGATCCCTGAGGGAGGATTAGATCCTGAAGAGGTTGTGATCCCTGAGGGAGGAGTTGATCCCTGAAGGAGGATTAGATCCTGAGGGAAACTGTGATCCCTGAGGGAGGGTATGGTCTCTGACGAGGGTGTGATCCCTGAGGGAGAAGTTGATCCCTGAGGGAGGAGTTGATCCCTCAGGGAGGGTATGATCCCTGAGGGAGGATTAGATCCCTGAGGAGGGTGTGATCCCTGAGGGAGGATTAGATCCCTGAGAGAAGGTGTGATCCCTATGGGAGAATGTGATTCCTGAGGGAGGATTAGATCCTGAGGGAGGAGTTGATCCCTCAGGGAGGGTATGATCCCTGAGGGAGAAGTTGATCCCTGAGGGAGGATTAGATCCTGAGGGAAACTGTGATCCCTGAGGGAGGATTAGATCCCTGGGGAGGGTGTGATCCCTGAGGGAGAGTATGATTCCTGAGGAGGACTTGATCCCTGAGGGAGGACTTGATCCCTGAGGGAGGACTTGATCCCTGAGGAAGCTGTGATCCCTGATCCCGTGGCAGGAGCCGATGACCTTCGAGGACGTGGCGGTGTTCCTGAGCCGGGCCGAGTGGGACGCGCTCACGGCGTGGCAGCGGGAGCTGTACCGGGATGTCGTGTCCGACACCTACGAGCTGCTGACCTCCCTGGGTAATCCTGGGAACAACCCCGGGCAGGGCTTCCCTCAGATCCCACCCCAGCGGCTTCCAGAGCGCTGAATCCCAGAATCCCAGAGTGGCTGAGGTTGGAAAAGGCCTTGGAGATGGCTGAGTCCAACAATTCTCCAACACTGCCAAGGCCACCACTAATCCATGTCTCCAAGTGCCTCATCCTCATGGCTTTCCAATCCCTCCAGGGCTGGACAACCCTTCCCGCGAGGAGTTTTCCCTTTTAGGGGCTGATCAGGGAGTTTAGTGCTGGAAAAGGCGGGATTTGGGTCCAGCACCCCTGGAAATGATTCCCTAACATCAGGGAGCACGGTGGGATGTCCCACCCCTGGGATGAGCAGGAGACATTCCCTCGCTGGCAAAGCCTGTCAGTGGAACTGGGAAGCTGTGGAACTTCCCACACTTCCATCAGGGCTCTCAGGAATAATTCCCTCCCTGGCAGCAGCTCCGGTTTCTCCCTCACTTTTCCCACATCTCAGAGGTGTTTCCATGCACGGTGAGGCACAGCTGGGGTGTCCCAGTCCTTGGTTTTCCCGTGATCAGGGACAGTCCAACGCCCTCTGTCCCATTCCCAGGTTATCCAGGCCCCAAGCCTGACATCCTGCACCGGTTGGAGCGCGGGGAAGAGCCGTGGATCTGCTCATCCCCAGGTGAGCAGCAACATCCCAACCCTGTGGGATGGAATCCACATCCAGGATGGGGTCAGGGCTTCCTGCTCCATCCCCGTGGCTGTGGAAAAGTCAGGATTCCTGGTGGGGACAAGGACAGGGCTCTTCCTTCATTCCCATGGCCATGGAGAGCAATTATTTCCAGCCTGGCTGGTGACATCTGCTGTTTTCCCTGCAGGACACGCTGGGAGCTGGCTGGAGGAGCCTTCCTCTGGGGGGTGGCCCAGAGCCAGTGGGTACCAGGGGCTGGAGACCTCGTGTCCAGGTGAGTCCTGCTCCAGCCCCATTCCTGGGCCACTCCCAGGGCTTCTCCCACTGCAGGGCTCCCCTGATGTCTGGCAGAGGTTGGGATGTGGAGCTCGGGCAGTCCCAGACTGGGAAGAAGGGATGTTCCTCTCCTTGCTCCTTCCAGGAAGGATCCAATCCCTTCCCACCTCTCACCCAGCAGGATGGAGCACCTTGTGGTGTCTCCAGGACAGGAGCTTCCAGAAGAAGTTTGGCTGTCACGAGGGAAGGAGCGAAGTCCCGTCGGAAGCAGATGTTGGAGTGAGGAGCCAAGGCCAGCCATGGCTTGTGAAGGAGGAAGAGGAGGATAAACCTGGACTCATGGAAGACATAACCCACAGTGAGACATTCCTGCTTCATTCCGTAATGGAGCAGCAGAGCCTGAATCCTTGGGAACAGCTGTGGGATGGCCCTGGGGAGAGGAGTCACGGGAACGCCCAAAACCATGGACACACCTTGGGAGAGGCGACGCTTCTCCCGAGAACCCGGCAGCTGCGGGTGGAGGAGCTGAGAGCGGCGGTGGCGAAGGACCACGGCTACTGCCTGCGGAGTGAGCCGGGCACGCCCTGCGCCCCCCGGACCTGCTGCCTGTGGGAACACAACTACTGCCAGCAGCGCCGGGCCAGGGGCAGCCGCGAGGCCAGGGGGAACCACGAGGCCGGGAGGAGCCACGAGGCCAGCACCGCCCGCGCCATGCGCCGTCAGCTGGCGCGGCGGCACTTACAATGGGGCAGGACGTTCCGGAGAGCCAGGGAGATCCTGCGGCGCTACCAGCCCTACTGGAGGTTGGGGTTTCCGTGGAGAGACCGCTCCAGCTCCGGCAGCGCCGCGCAGGGGACGAGCCCTGCGGTTTGTCCTCCGACGAATGAAGCCGCGCCGCGCCAGCTCCAGGGCGCCGGGAATGCTGAGGGGGAGACATTGGACACACGACGTGCCCCGGAGGGGATTTTGGGAACTGGAGGCTCCTCCCCTGCCCTAATCCCGGATGTAGGGGTGGGGAAGAGAGCAAAGCCTCTGGAGCATCCTGGTGCCAGACAGGAGCTTGAAGGAGGTGCTGCACCCCAGGAATCACAGGAGGCGTCGCTCCAGGACGTGTTCCGGAATGTGCTGAAGACAGTCAGGTACATACTGGACTCCCTGTGCCAGAAGTTTGAGCTCCAGGGGGTCTCCCAAGGGAAGAGCATCTGGCCCATTGTCATCCAGATTGACAACTTGACGGAGATCAGGAAGCACTGACTCGCAGGGGAAACTTGAATTGGATTCCCTGAGGCACAGCACTCAATCCCCCCCGGTTCTGGGGGGTTCAGGAGGAGAAACGTGGCAGAGGTGGACTGGGGGAGGTGAAACTGGGAATGTGGAGCCTGCCCTGAACTGGGATTGATTGAGAGGTTTTGGAGAAAAGCATTGGGAAAGGGGAGGATTCATGTGGTTCAAAGGAGGAAAGAAGGAAAAGTAAGCATGGGATCCTGAAATCCTGGAATGGTTTGGGTTGGAAGGGATGTTAAATCCACCTCTAAAAACCAACCAGGGGTTGGGCTGTGCTCCTGTCACCGAAACTACGGGAAAAACAAAAACCCTCCAACAACGTTTTTGGTGTTACACAAGGCATTTCCTTATTTCTGGCTGGGGTATGCAACAGAAATAATTTCACCCACACATGGCCTGGGTGTGCAGAGAAAACCATTTCATGACAGGCAAACTTTTACTCAATTTTTCCCAAACTTTATCCAGTCCAAAACCCACAGAAATCCATTGGTTCAATCCTCATTGGTTCCAAACTGCAGAGTTCTCAGAATTCGGTTCCTTATTGGACCAGGATTATTTTGCCTCTGATGTTTATTAGGCTGTCACTAATTTCTTGATCAGCCATTTCCAGCCCCAGGGGTCTGGGGTAGATGTTCCTTGATGTTTGCTGATGGTTGTTATCTTTTTGGGTGTCTTTTGGGCTGTTCCCAGTTTGTTGAGACCTTAAATTTATCAGTCTTCACAGAGGCAAACAATACCCTTGAAAAAAACATTCCTCTAATTCCCTTCTCCAAGTCAAGGGCAAACAGAGCCTGCCAAAAAAATAAAATAAATTTTAAACGTTGTATAGTTGCCAACACTCAGAGAACAGGGAGAGGATGAGGAGAAACAGTCTCGAGTTGTGCCAGGGAGGGTCAGGTTGGGTTGGCTTGGATATAGGGAAGGACAAAGGAGGGTTTAGTTCCAGTCATGTGGAAATGTTTTCCTGGGAAATCCAGCCTGGCCTGAATTCCCAGCAGCTTTTGGAACCTCTGGAATTGGATCATGACAAGGAAAAGGTGATTGTGGGTCTTGATGACTCCCCGTGTGTGAGGCCACGAGGCTTGACTCCATTTTGCTCAGAAGGCTGATTTATTATATATGATATTAAAATACCACATTAAAACTGTACTAAAAGAACAAAGAGAGGAGAAGATCAGAAAGCTACAAAGGCAAGAATAGGATAGGAATGAATAACACAATTTTGTGACTGCTCAGAGTCCGGTGCAGCTGCATCTGTGATTGGCTCTTAATTAGAAACAATCAGCATGCCCCAACCACAGATGCACCTGTTGCATTCCGCAGCAGCAGGCTGGGGTGGAAGGACCCCAAAACCCGTCCGGTTCCAGCCCCTGCCTGGCACTGGGAACCTTCCAGAGCCCGGGTCGTGTCCGGGCCTGGCTGTGGGAACGGCGCCAAGACAAACCCGCGGCTGCTCCGGAACGAGGAGGGGCAGCTCAGTCCTGGGAAGGGCAAATAAACCCCGAGCCAGATTTATGAGCAGGGAATTTCCCCGGCTCAGGGCTCAGGGTTGGGTTTGGGTGGGGTTTACTGTCCCTGTCAGAGGTGGGACACGTCCTGGGAATCACAACTTCCCGAGGAAAACTCACTGAATTTTCCTTTTCTTTATTCCCAAAATGGCCTTTAAGGCCATTGGTGGCTTTTTGGTGCCTGCTCGTGGCTGGCACAGGCAGCTAAAAATGAAATTTAAACATTTTACAGCCATTTTGAATATGCTTCTCTTGCTGTTAAATCCTAGGTGGGATACATGGGGAAAATTGGAATAACTGAGGAGTTTGGAAGGAGCTGAGAGGATTTTGGAGGAAATTCTGAAGGAATTGAAGAATTTGGAGGGAATCTGGGAAGGAACGGGGAAGAATTTGGAAGGAATTACAGAATTTAAAGGGAATTTTTAAGGAACCGGGGACATTTTGGGAGGAATTTGGAAAGACTTGAAGGGAAGCAGCGAGAGCAGTCAATCCCCGGGGATGTGTCGGATCCCCATCCCGGGGGGAGAGCCTGGATGTGGTGCAGGACAATCCCACCCTCCTCCTTGGAAGGCTGGGCCTGGCTGCAGCTGGAATGTCCCAGGGTCGGGTGGGGTTTGCTGCAGGGCTGTGACTGACACCGTCCCTCCCTGGGGACTTCCAGCTGCCACCCCCTTTGTCCCCTGTGATTTATGAGGATGTTTTCCACCCGGCCCGGCCCCTGAGCCGAGGGTCACCCTCGGGGCAGGACCCTGGGTGTCCTCCCGGAGCTTCCTGCTCCCCTGTTTGCAGAGAGGGACAGGCCATAAATCACCCCGGGCTGGAAAGCCCCGTCTGTCCTCGGGGACCAAAAATCACCCCCAGCACTGCCGAGGCCAGCACTGACCGTGTCCCCAAGTGCCACCTCCACAGGGATTTTAAATTCCTCCAGGGAGGGGACTCCACCGTGGCCCTGGGCAGATTTTTGAGGAAGGAATTTTCCCAAATCCAGCCTGGACCTCCCCTGGCCCAGCCTGAGGCTGTTTCCCCTTGTCCTGTCCCTGTTCCCTGGGAGAGGATCCCGACCCTCACCTGGCTCAGACCTTTCATCCCCACCACGCTCTGGACCATCCATGGCCAGTGTGGGAAATGGATTTGTAGGGAATTTTCAAAGCCTGACAGAAGGCTCACACAGTGTGAGCATCTGTGTGCAAACTGAGGTGAGAAATGCTGACTTGGAAATGCCGTGGAATGGACAGACATTGCTGAGAGAGAAATGGAGCTAGAAACAAGCTTTAAAGGATGGCCTTGCAAGTAAGACTGGATACTTTGGAGAAATAGAGCTGTGAAAGATTAAAAAGTAATTTTAGATGGTTGGTTTTAAACATTTACAGCATGGTGTGGCTAAAGCTGATAAGCCAAGAAACACTGATTGTGTGTTGTAATTAGGAAATAGTTGGTTTTTGATTGTGATGGTGTGAATGATAACATCTGCATTGTCTCACCCTCCACATGAGACTGAAAATGGAATAAAAGTTTTTAAAACACCTCTCTGGGTCAGAAAAGAGTTCAACCTGACAGGCCGTGTCTGTCACCCTGTCCTCGCTGCCACCCCCTGCTCACACATTCCCTGCCCTGGGGACCCCGATGGAGGGGGACCCCAAACCCTGCTGCCCAGAGGTGACCCGCACACCCATCCCCGCCGCCCTGGGCACCGCGGCGGGCTGGGCTGGGCTCCGGGCCAGATTCATCCCCCCGGAATGTCCCTGTGTGCCAGCCCCGCTACGCCCAGGCCAGCCCCCATAAAAGCGCTGCCGGCGCCGGGGGAGCAGGATGGGGGATCCAGGATCCAGGAGCGCCATGGGGCCGCTGCTGCTGCTGCTGGGGCTGGGGCTGGCCGGAGCTTCCACGCCGCAGCCACGCGGATCCACGCCGGCACAGGACGGAACCGCGGTGTCCTCGTCCTCGCCGCGGGCCCTGAGCTACGGGGACGTGGTGGCGGCGGCCGTGGAGCTGCTCAACAGCTCAACCTGACAGGCCGTGTCTGTCACCACAGTCCCTGTCCTCGCTGTCACCCCCTGCCCTGGGGACCCCAATGGAGGGGGACCCCAAACCCTGCTGCCCAGAGGTGACCCGCACACCCATCCCCGCCGCCCTGGGCACCGCGGCGGGCTGGGCTGGGCTCCTGGCCAGATTCATCCCCCCGGAATGTCCCTGTGTGCCAGCCCCGCTACGCCCAGGCCAGCCCCCATAAAAGCGCTGCCGGCGCCGGGGGAGCAGGATGGGGGATCCAGGATCCAGGAGCGCCATGGGGCCGCTGCTGCTGCTGCTGCTGGGGCTGGGGCTGGCCGGAGCTTCCACGCCAGAGCCACGCGGATCCACGCCGGCACAGGACGGAACCGCGGTGTCCCCGTCCTCGCCGCGGGCCCTGAGCTACGGGGACGTGGTGGCGGCGGCCGTGGAGCTGCTCAACGCCAGGGCCGCCAGTCCCCACGTGCTGCGGCTGCGGGAGGCCCAGCCCCGGCCCGGCTGGGTGGGTGCTGGGCTCTCCCTTTCCAGGGGAAGCTCCAGGACTGGGCAGTGCTGGATGCGGCCCTGCTCGGGGTGGATCTGCCCCGTTTTGGGTCTGAGCCCTGAGGGACTCAGCGCAGCCGAGTCGGGGCTGGGCCTGACCCGTTCCAGGCTGGATGTGGCCCCTCCTGGGGCTGGTTCTGGTCTGTTGTGGGGCTGGGCACTGGAGGCAGCGGATCCCTGATGGATCCTGTCCCTTTTCCCAGCCCTCGGACCTGCAGAGCAGGCAGGAGCTGAGCTTCACCGTGGAGGAAACCACGTGCAGGACACCGGGAACGGCCACCAGCAACTGCAAGAGCCGCTGGCTCGGGGTGAGGCTTCTTCCTGTGGGAACTGGGGATTATCCCGTGGGGAAACTGAGGCACGAGGGGGCTGGGCTCTCCTGTGTCCCCTCTGTGCCCCACAGGCGGTGACCTTGTGCCAGGGCTCCGTTTTCCTGGAGGGGCAGCAGCCCACGGTGGAGCTCTCCTGCGAGAAGGCCCCAGCCGCGGTGAGAAGGGGCTGGGATGGCTCCGTGTCCCCCCAGGTCCCCTCTGCCCCCCTCCCCCAGGTCTGACCCTGCCCTTTCTTTCCCCAGTTTGGCCAAATCTGGAAATCCAAGATCAGGGATTTCTTTGGCAAGGTCAAGCAGCGTTTCCGGGGGCTCTTCCAGTGCGGTCGGATCTGGATCCGGGACAGGCTCAACCTCAAGGCACCCAAACCCTGAGGGGTGACACTGCTGTGCCCCCTCCCTGTGTCCCCACCTTGTGTCCCCTCCCTGTGCCCCCTCCCCAGGTGCTTCACTGCCAATAAAGGTCCCTGCATCACTCCTGGTGTCACCTGAGTGTCCCTGGCCCCAGTGGGGACCCCCGAGCGCTCCCGGACCCCCCAAATCCCCCCGTGCCCAGCCGAGGAGCTGGGAGAGCTGGGAACACCCTGGGAGTCATGAATGGGGGGTGTCACGAGTGGGGGGCACTCACCGGGGTTCCCTGGAGAGGCAAAGGGACCCCCCTGCAGGTGCTGCCACCTCGGGACCCCCTGGCAGCCCCTCCCCAGCTCCCGCTGCTTCCCGGCCACTGTCACCGCAAGGGGGACACGAGGATGGGGACAGGGCTGGTGACAGAGTGACCCGAGGGGAGCAGGAGCAGCTCCCCCAAAATGGGCACAACGCGGGCACCACTGGGGTCTCCTCCTGGCACCGGCCCCCTGCAGGGACTTGGAGCCCTGGGATTGTCCTTCCCTGTCCCCAGGACACCTTGGGGGGAGCCTGTGGGGTCCCCACAGTGGGTTTGTGGGGTGCAGACCCACAGGAATATTGAGGGACAGGAGGGACACCCCAGGGGGCTGCAGCCATGACTCTGCTCCAGACACTTTTGGGGCTCAGGGGTCCCCGAGCCCCCCAAATCTGCACCCACAATGTCCCTGTCCCAAACTGGGTTCACCATGGGGGTCCCTTTTTTGGGACCTGAACCCCCCCAGCCCCTCCCTGCAGCTCCCTGGAGGGCTCAGAGTGTCCCCTCTGTCCCCTCCCCACCTCCCTTTGCCATCACTGCTGATTGGGGGGGACAAGGTGCAGTGGGGACAGTGCCACCACGGGGACAATGCCACCACGGGGACAGTGACACCCTGGGGCTGACGGTGGTCCCTTTTTTGGGTGAGGTCCTGGGGGCTCCCCAGAGTGAACCCATCCCCGTCCCCAGTCCGACTCCACGTCCCGTTGAGGACGATGAGGAGGAGCAGCCCCGTGTGCCAGGCGTGCCTCAGTTTCCCCGTGTGACAGAGACAGGAGGTCGCGGTGCCCGCACGGCCACTCCCGGTGGCCCCTTTATTGCTCAGCCCAGCCCCACGGAGCCCCTCAGGTGGACGTTGTACTTGATCCTGGGTCGGAAGCGCCGGACCTTCCTCAGGAAGCGCCCGAAGCCTGGGTGCTCCCCAGAGCGAACCCATCCCCGTCCCCAGTCCGACTCCACGTCCCGTTGAGGACGATGAGGAGGAGCAGCCCCGTGTGCCAGGCGTGCCTCAGTTTCCCCGTGTGACAGAGACAGGAGGTCGCGGTGCCCGCACGGCCACTCCCGGTGGCCCCTTTATTGCTCAGCCCAGCCCCACGGAGCCCCTCAGGTGGACGTTGTACTTGATCCTGGGTCGGAAGCGCCGGACCTTCCTCAGGAAGCGCCCGAAGCGGCCGCGCTGCACCAGAACCGGCTGCCGGAGGGATGGGGGGGTCGGGGGGTGCGGGACTCCGCCTGGGAGCACAGCCGGGACCCCACCCAGGGCCCCCCGCAGCTGGAAACCCACCCGGGACCCCGCACCAGGGACCCCATCCTCAGGATCCCACCCAGGAACCCATATCAGGGACCCCCTCCTCAGAATCCCACCAGGGACCCCACTCCAGGGGTATTCCCCACCCGGGACCCCGCACCAGGGACCCCATCCCCAGGATCCCACCAAAGACTCCATCCCCAGGATCCCACCAGGGCCCCCATCCCCAGGATCCCACCCAGGACCCCGCACCAGGGATCCAGGACCCCATCCCCAGGATCCCACCAAAGACTCCATCCCCAGGATCCCACCAGGGACCCCATCCCCAGGATCCCACCAGGGACCCCACTCCAGGGGTATTCCCCACCCAGGACCTGCACCAGGGATCCCATCCCCAGAATTCCATCCAGGACCTCACATCAGGGACCCCATCCCCAGGATCCCACCAGAGACCCCACTCCAGGGGTATTCCCCACCCAGGACCCCACTCCAGGGACCCCATCCCCCAGACCCCATATCAGGGACCCCATCCCCAGAATCCCATCCAGGACCCCATATCAAGGACCCCCCAGGACCCCACTCCAGGGGTATTCCCCACCCAGGACCCCACTCCAGGGACTCCACTCGTGTCCCCACACCTGGAACATCTGGCACCCCACATCCAGAACCCAACACTTGTGACCCCACCCGTGTCCCCAAGCCCAGACCCCACCCAGGACCCCGACCATGGGACTCTGCACCTACAACCCCCCACCCAGGACCCCCGCCCAGCCCCCGTGAGCTCCCCAGGACCCCCCACCCTCCTCTGGAGCCATGGGGGGGCAGGGAGCCCCCGGGTGTCCCTTTTGGGGGTTGGGGACCCTGCAGGGACCCTCCCCTCGCACTCACGTCGGAGGAGGCGTCGGAGCAGTGCAGGTCGATCTCGGGCGAGTCCTGGCGGAACTTCACCGGCCCCGAGCACTCCTTGATGACCTGGGGGGACACGCGGTGTCACCCGGGGATGGCAGCGGGCCCCCGTGCCCCCTTCCTCCCGCTGCTGCTCCTCCTCCTCCTCACCCCGTTCTCCTTGAAGTCGCAGTCGTCGGGGCTGGTGCTGGCGCTGGCAGCACACTCGGTCTCCATCATGCTGAAGTTGAGTCTCTGCAGCGAGCTCAGCTCCACGCCCTGCGGACACGGGGGGGTGGCAGGAGAGGGGTCACCAGTGGGGTGGCAGTCACTGGAGTGGGCTCAGGGCCAGCGCTGGGCGGTCACAAGGAGGGGATCGTGAGGGGTGGGTGACAAATGGGGGGTCACGAGCGGGGGGACAGGAATAGGGATCATGGGGGGTGTGTGACAAATGGGGGGTCACGATGGGGTGACAGGAATAGGGGTCATGAGGGGTGGGTCACAAGTGGGGTGACACTCACGGGTCGGCCCTGTGCGCTCCAAGTGGGGTACCGCGAGTGGGGGGACAGGAATAGGGGTCATGGGTGAGTCACAAATGGGGGGTCACGATGGGGTGACACTCACGGATTGGCATTGTGCACCCTGAGTGGGGTAGGAGGAGTGGGGGGACAGGAATAGGGGTCAGGGTCACAAATGGGGGGTCCCGAGTGGGGGGCACTCACCGGGGCGGACTCAGGGTCGCGCTGGGCAGCCCCGGTCAGGCACCCCGAGTGGGGTGGGGGTGTCACCCGTGGGGGGGTCCCGGGCGGGGGGCACTCACCGGGCCGGGCTCGGGCTCCGCGCTGAGCAGCCTGAAGGCGTTCTGCACCTCGGGCTGCTGGTTGTAGGAATCCACGGCCTGCACCAGCGCCTCGGTGTAGGACAGGGACGCCGGGCCGGGGAGGGCGCAGGCCCCCCCCAGCACCGCCAGCACCAGCACCCACGAGCTCGGCATCGCTGTCCCCACGGCCACCCCCGGGCCCCTTTTATCCCCCACGGGAGGCTGGGGACCCGCCCCGGGGCTGCCCCTGGGGACACGCCCGGCCCAAGCCGCAGAGCGGCCGTTCTTTTGGGGGGACGCGGGGGGGTCCCGTGTGTCCCCGTGGATGGGCGGTGGCATCTGAACCCCCCGGGGTCCCCCCCCTCGGGAGCCCCTTGGCGGGCTCGGGGGGTTTGGGGGCCAGGGCCCCTCGGGTGGTGGTGACACGTCGCCCGTGTCAGGTTGGTGCCCGCGGGGTTGCACAACCCCAAAGTTGCGCCACCGCTGTTGCCCAAGGCCCAGGGTGCCCCCCCGGCTCCCCCGAGCTGTCACCCCCACACACGCACACTGCGAGCCCCAAATCTCTTTATTGGGGTTCCGCTGGGGACAGGGGGCGGCGGGACGGGCCCTGCAGGGACGCGCTGGGAGCGGGGCGAGGCCGCGGGGGGGACCCCGAGGATGGTGATGATGAGGAGGAGGATGAGGAGGATGAGTGACCTGGGTTGCTGCCAGGCGAGCGGGGCTGGGCGCTGTCACCGGCCTGCTGCGGCCTAGGATAAAGGGGGGGTTTCACTCCAGAGCCAAAAACCCCACCAGAAGCGAGGGGGACGCGTGTCCCAGCCCCGGGATGCGCTCCCGGAGCCCTCACCGGCTCCCGGCCGCACTCCACCATCGACAGCGGCACGTCGGGCAGGAAGGTGAACACGGACACCTGGGCCGAGCAGCGCTGCACCTGCGGGCACAGCGGCCTCAGCACGCCGGAGAACCCCCCGTGGCCCCGGGTTCGGGGGTCCCACCCCGCGCTCACCCTGCCCGGGCGGCCGCGGCAGCCGCGGGGGTCCGGGGCGGGCTTGGGGCACGGCGGCTGCCGGGCCGTGAAGTTGATGCTGAAGTGGGTCCCCCAGTCGAAGCTCTGCCGGGACAAAAGCTCCGTGGGGCCCCGCACGGGATGGGTGCGGGCACCGGGAGAACACCCCACCTCGCACCCCTTTTCCTACCGTCCTGGCCACTCCGAGCAGCCGCAGCAGCCGCAGCTCCTGCCCGTGCGTCTCCAGCACGGAGCGCGCCAGCTCGCGGGGCGCGGGCACGGCCGGGGGCACGGCCGGGGGCACGGCCGGGGCCGGGGCAGCGCCCGCCGCCAGCAGCAGCAGCAGCAGCAGCAGCAGCGCCATGCGGGCAACGCGCCCCCGCCTCGCTGCAGCCCCGGGCCCGGCCCCGGCTGCGGGGGAAACAGCGGCCCCCGTGCCGCGGGACGGGATCGGCTTCCCGGTGTTTTCCTTGGCGCGGTGCCGCGCGGGGAGCGTGCCTGGACCGGCAGGGGATGCGGCGATGCTGGAGCTCGGCAGGGCCGGGCCCCCTGCGCGGCCCCTTGGCTGGGCCGGCTCCCGGGTTCTTGGAGGGCTCCTCCCGAGCCGGGAGCCACAGCATCCTCCTGGCTCCCACAGAGAGAAGAACCAGGAGCCCCCTCCCCTCTCCCAGTTTCTTTACATGATTTTGGGTTTTCTAAATCCCTCTCAGCCTGCTCAGATTCATCCAAACAGCCTAGGCCCAGGTTTTCCTTGGAAGAACCAGGAGCCCTCTCCCCTCTCCCAGTTTCTTTACATGATTTTGGGTTTTCTAAATCCCTCTCAGCCTGCTCAGATTCATCCAAACAGCCTAGGCCCAGGTTTTCCTTGGAAGAACCAGGAGCCCTCTCCCCTCTCCCAGTTTCTTTACATGATTTGGGGTTTTTAGGATCCTTCTCAGCCTGCCCAGATTCATCCAAACAGCCCAGGCCCAGGTTTTCCTTGGGGTCAGGAACACAGGGTTTACCAAGGACTCCTCTGTGTGGATCCTGCTCTCCCAGTTTGCCCTCCCTGGGTGACTGGGTCTCGTTTCCACAAAATTCAGGATTTTCCTGTTGCCTTTGGAGCTAGGAGCTCCCTGTTCTCCTCGCTTCATCCACAATGGAAAAGCAAAGAAATCCCTGGGGAAGGAATCCCGGGAAGCACATCTGGGAGAGACCTGAGCCTCCCGGGATCCCTGGGCCTGGGAACAGAGCTCTGGAAGCCCTGGGGCCATCGACAGCCCTGGGGTCAGGGGAGCTGCTGCTCTTCCAAAGGTGTTTGTTCCAAGATTCCCATTCCTAGGGACACAAGACCCGGGTGGGAGATGGTGGGAGGGAAAAGGGATAATGGAACACCAGGAGAGCAGCTCACCAGAGCCTCCTCTGCCCATGGAGACCATCAGGAGGGGTCCTGGAGAAGAGAAGATGCCACAGGCAACAACTTCATTCTGATCATGTTTTTTTCTTATTTTTCCTTTTTAAAGTCTGAGCAGCACAGAGAAGTCCAAAGGATTCCCATTCCTGGGAAGCCAGCAGTGGGTAGATGTGGGAGAAATGGATATGTCCTGATAGATGACATTTATAACCAGATATGCTCATTATAGACCCTAAAATATACACAGTACCCCGATACAGACACCCACATGTACAGCCAGAGCCCATCCCAGGGATGCTGGGAGCAGGAGCGGGGCTGGGGGCACATCCTGCTCCCAAATCCCTGGCAGCTGGGATGGGGTCAGGTTCCTGCTGCCTGGCCCTGAGTGCCCAGAGGAGGTATGGCTGTGCCCAGGCTGGCACGGGAAGAGCCGGGCACGGAGAGCTCTGCAGGGACGGTGGATCATGCAGGACAGGGGCTGAAGGGCTGAGCAGGGAAGATGCTGCCAGGCAGCTCTTTGGCTCTGCCAGCATTCCAAAGTTTCCTGGCACAAAACCCATGGCAAAGCCCTTTCCCAGCAGAGCACGACAAACTCGTGACGTATTTTCCTTGCCTCTTTGTTCCAGCTGCCTCTCAGGCTTGGAAAACACCTCAATAATTAATTTAAAGGACATCCTGATCATCTATTTTCCATTTTGAAACCCTCAGGCTGTTGCCTGGAGTCGTTTCCATCCATCCTTCTCCAGAGCTTGCCCAAACGATCCTGGTTTAACTGAACTTTTCCTCTTCCTGGTTTCTCCATCCTGTGGCTCTTGTGGAGAAGTTTTCCACATCAAGCTGAGGAAAGCACGAGAAACTGGGGGTGTCTTGTGTAAGAAGCTCCTGGAAGCAACAGTGTCGTGTTTGTCCTCTTTGGAGACCCCCTGTGCAACCAGGACCCCCCAAATCGCTGCTGATGCCCCTGGGAGGCCTCAGGTGGTTTTGCTGCTCCCAGAAGGTGCAGGTGGATTTTCCAAGTCCTTGAAGTGGCCGTTTTTATGTCACAATGAAGCCTGGCTCCCTCCCCCGGCTCACAACAGCACTTCCCAAAGGTGTAACCGCAGGAAAACCGACGATGGGTGGATGGATCCGGAGAAGGCTGAGGGGTCTTTGCCCATAAACTCACCACATTTGACCCTTCAGGACCTTCAACCCAAAAAGTTACAGCTGGGGATCACCCTCAAGTCAAGTTTGTGTTCCGATCGAGCACCTGGAAACGCTGGCACGCTCGCCGCAGCCGCGACGCCCCCCAAAAAACCAAACCCCCAAATGTCAGATGGTGAGGAGCGGCACGCAGCCCACGCCCACGCCGCCCTCGTGGCACACCATGGGCGCCATGAACGTCCAGCGGTTGGTCTCGGGGTCGTACATCTCCACCGAGCTCAGGTTGGACTGTCCGTCGTAGCCGCCCACGGCGTAGAGCCGGCCGCAGTTGGCCACCAGGGAGACGCGGCTGCGGCGCGTGTTCATGGGCACGATCAGGTACCACTGGTCGGCCATGGAGCTGTAGACCTCGGCGGCGCTCAGGAAGCCGGAGCCGTCGTAGCCGCCGCAGACGAACATGCGGCTGCCCAGCGCGGCCGCGCCGTGCCGGCACCGCTTGTTCAGCATGGGCGCCACCGCGTGCCAGCTGGACGTGTGCGGGTTGTAGTACTCCACCTGCCACGGAGGAGGAGCACGTGGAGTAAGTCAGGGGTGATGCTGCCTTGGGAATTGCCCTGGGGCATCCCCTGTGGGGCTGGCACTGCTGGGGCAGCGCCAAAGCGGGGGCAGTGTTGGGTTTCTTGGGGTAAGACAGGGAAGGGAAGGGTCTGGAGCAGCTGAAGGAGCTGAAAGGACTGAACTGCCTTCAGTTAAAAGTTCAGCTGCTGTGGGATGGTGCCTGAAGGGTTTGGGTTGGAAGGGGCCTTAAAGCCACCCCTGCCATGGCAGGGACACCTCCCACTGTCCCAGGCTGCTCCCAGCCCTGCTCAGCCTGGCCTTGGGCACTGCCAGGGATCCAGGGGCAGCCACAGCTGCTCTGGGCACCCCAAGCCATCCCTTGTCCCAGTCCCTCTCCAGCTCTCCTGGAGCCCCTTTAGGCCCTGCAGGGGGCTCTGAGGTCTCTCTGGAGCCTTCTCTTCTCTCCCAGCCTGTCTCCATATCCAAAGGGCTCCAGCCCTCAGAACATCTCCATGGCCCCAGGGGATAAATGAGTCACTTCTGTTCCACCTCAGGTTTTTCTGTTACGGGTGGAAGTGACACAATTTGTTGGCACAACCACTCGGGGCTGTTTGGATGGCCAGGGAAAGGACACGGAGCCTCCCAGCCCCACGCTGAGGTGCAGGGGCTGAGCCCTGGCCAGGGCCTTACACTGTTGAAGATCTGGAGCCCGTCGTGCCCTCCGGACACGTAGATCCGGCCCTCGAACACGGTGACTCCGGCAGCGCTGCGGTTGGAGCTCATGGGGGTCACTGCTGTCCACCTGGCAGGGAGAGGGAAGAGGTTCTCCCACAGATTATTCCATGCTTTTCTAGTGCTGGATTCTACCATCTTTCCCCACTCCTTATTCAAACCATTCTCACAGGCCAGGTGCCCAGCGGTGCCAGGACATGGAATGCTGGAGGGGAACCTCCTGGAAAAGCTCTGGGACACCAAGGGCTCTTACTTGTTTGTTTCTGGAGAATAGGACTCCACCGAGTTGAGGGAAGAGTTTCCATCGTAGCCACCACACACGTAGATCTGCCCATCCAGCACCACTGTCCCCATGGCACTGCAAGGAACAGCAGGACCCTCTGAGGTGGCTGGAGGTGCTGTCACCCTGTCCCCAACAGGGTGACCCAACATGCTCTGCCTGTGGCATCCCACCAAAGTGCCTTTTCCCTGGATTCACCTCCAAACTGCCCAGTCCCACCTGAACTCTGAGCTCACAAAGGAGAAAGGTGCTCATGGCAGGAGCACCTCAAATCCTGGTGTGGATTTGGGTCCCTCATAAGAGAAAAAGACATTGGGGGGCTGGAGCGTGTCCAGAGAATGGAATGGAGCTGGGGAAGGGGCTGGAGCACCAGAAGTGGCTGAGGGAGCTCCAGAGAAACCAAGTGAGGGGCGTGTACACCCTCTACCCCTGCCCTGCACAGCCTGGGCCAGGGCTGGACAACCCCTTCCAGGAGGAATCTTCCCTGCATCCAACCTGAACTCCCCTGGCACAGCTTGAGGCCATTTCCCCTTGTCCTGTCCCTGTTTCCTGGGGGCAGAGCCCGGCCCCCACTGGGGCTGCACACCAAGGAAATCCCAGCTGCCTCCACACTGCCCCACTCCTCCTTTCCCATTTTTCCCCCAACACACACTGCTGGGCGCCCACCACCCCAACTCTTCCTCCAACCTCATTATTCCTTGCTTTTCCAGAAGCCTCCTCCCTGTGAGCTGCACGTACCTCCTCTTACTGTTCATGCTTTCCACTTTGGACCAGGAGTCGGTGTCTGGGTTGTAGACCTCCACGGTGCTGAGCCTCAGCTGGCCGTCGTAGCCGCCGATGGCGTAGAGCAGCCCGTTGACCACGGCCACGCCGACGCGGCTGCGCGCCGTGGCCATGGGCTGGCACTTCTCCCAGCGGTTGGCAATGGGGTCAAACACCTCCACCACGTTCAGAGAGTCGCCTGCATAGAAATTTGCTACTCAAATTAAAAGGGGGAGACCTGATGAAGCCCTGAGATGGTGATGGGGGGGTAGAGGGGTAAGGGGGTGGTGCTGTGCACCTGAAGATGGAGCTGGCGTGGGGAATTTGGCTGCTTAATATCTGGGGAAAAAAGGAATGGGAACCTTGTGAGATTCAACAAGGCCAAGGGCAAAGTGCTGCACCTGGGTTGGGGCAAGAAATTCTTCCCTGTGAGGGAAGCGAGGCCCTGGCCCTGGGATGGAATTCCCAGAGCACCTGGGGCTGCCCCTGGATCCCTGGAAGTGCCCAAGGCCAGGCTGGAGCAGCCTGGGATAGTGGCAGGTGTCCCTGGCATGGCAGGGCATGGAATGGGATGATCATTAAGGTCCCTTCCAACCCAGACCATTCTGGGATTCTCTGTCCTATCCTGG